CCTCCAGGCCAATTTCCACTTCCTGATTTAAACATTTTAGTCCAAATGGCCTTTTTCAATCTGGTACCCAAATATTTACCAATTACAGCTCACCCCAAGCCCGATCAATTACTTTACGGCACCCAAACTTATTAAATTTACCAAACCGCTCCAACTCCTAAAAGACATATACGCCCCTAACTGTTCATCAAATTTCCAACAAAGTGCCCTCGGACTCCAAAAAGATGGGAGACCTTACCTTCACTCCATCACCGCCGATCACCACAGTCGCCCGGCTCCGGCAACCACCGTCACCTTCCTCCGCCTCGCTTCTATCTCCGTCGCATTCCTCCGGCTCCTCCTCTTCATCCTCGAACATCGCCTCGTCAACGGCCGCCCTTCGCGAGGATCCCCCGCCGCTGCCAATCCCACCTTCGACTTCCCTTCTCCAGCCGCAGTTCGGAGGGAAATGACGGATTGCCGAGATTCCTCGTCGTTTGGGTGGGTAAGCATTTGGCCTCACCAACGTTTCCGTGCTATCCTTCACCCCGCCAACGTCAGAGTCGCCAGCAAAGCTTCTCGCCGCCGTCGAGCTTCCGGGCTTCCTCTTGCGTCCCCGAGCCACCACCCTCGTTCGGATCCACCTCGCCCTTCTTCCTGTTGATTCCGTTTGCATCTAGCCTTACCAGGGACAGAATCTCGTTCCCCTCTTCTTCAATTTTCCTCAGTTTGGTTCGTACGAAACAGGGAGAATCTCAATCCCTATCCCCACTTCTTTGTACTCCTTTGACGAATAAAACGACCCCATCTCTACCTCCCCCTTAAAACCAATTAAATTCTCAATCAATTTCACCATTACTCACCGGTTTCTTCGCGATTTCAGCCGTTTCCCGATTGCCCGAGTTTTGCCGATGGCGACTCTGTTTCCCCTTCATTCTTCCGTTTTCCCCTGTCAAACTCGCCTAGAGGAAGGCGACCAAGCGGCCAGGCCCGCTTCCCCTTTCTCTTCCTCCTCTAACGGGCTCAAGCCCTTCTTCTTTTTTTTTTCTTTCCTCTGGGCCGGCAGGCCAGCCCACACCTCCTGCCCTTCTCTCAGCTCGGCCAGGCCCATCACGAGTGAGCTTCGGTCCACTTCTCTCTTCCTTCCCTTCCTTTTCCTTCTCATTGGGCCGCCCTTGAGAACTAAATAGGCCCACTCGGACCCCCCTCTCTTAATTCCAAATCCATGCCAGCCCAAATAGCAAAACAAAAATCAGATTAGCCCAAACACTAAATTGGGTCTTGATATGAAAATCCGATTTATGTCTGCAACTTCTTCGTTTTACATCGAAATTTGACACCGTTTGAACCGAGAGCTCACATTTTTAATCCTCCTTGATAATACGGTGAAACTTGATAAACTTATCCAAGGGTAAAATAGTCTTTTTGACCTTTAGAAAGAGCGGGGTGTAACACATCCCGTTGCGGCAAAACCCATATCTCCATAGCTAGAAAGTTCGTGATTTAAAATCGAGCGTTTTGATAGTATTTCGACGAAAATCGGATTATCGATCGATCGGATAAATATATGTATTAATTATATATATATATATAATATTATATATATAATTATATATATATAGATAATTACATTAAGCGGCAGACCGCATATATTAATCCCACCTTCCGTCCCATTCTCATCTCTTTTCCATTTCATTCTTCTTTCTTTTCTCATTCTGTACCGAGAGAGCAGTGCGAGCAGAGGCATTCAGGGGAGCTCGCTAGAATTTTGTAGAGCTTAATTCTTGAGCATCTATGATCCAAAAATCCCGTAAGTAATGCCTAATTCATCTATTTATCGTGATTTATCGATTTAGAGCTTTAAAACGAGTTTTTGGATCAGGAATTTCTTGAATTCCCGATAAGCCAAATTAGGGTTTCGGAGTATCCGGAAGCCGGATTGAGCCCAAATTTCATATACGAGCTTCCTGCAGTGAGGTAATTAATCCTCTGGTTTTAATCCATGAATTTCGACTATTATTTAGGTCGGAGCCGGGATCGCTGAATTTAGCTCCGGCCAGGGTTTGATGTGTTTTTATCAAGAATTTGACCCGGAGCCTAGAACTAATATTGACGGGGATATTGCAGGGGATATAAGGACGGTCTCGGATTTTAATTCGGGGTTCGTTGGTGAAATTGACGTTTTAGTACGGGAAGGTTAAACCGGTGTTTGAACGACCAGAACTGGTGAGGGATTAGCATGGCATACCGGGTTTGTCGTATCACGATAATTATATTGATGCTTAGAATTGACCTAGGTGAACTAGAATGGCATGATTAGGGGTGTATGAACTTTTGGTGCTATATGATGAACCCTGGATTGCTGTATGATATTATTGACTTGCCCTAATCGATATGGACCTTGTTTATGCTAATGATTTCGTATATGTTGCAAATTGTGGGCTTGACTGTTGATATGCCTTATGATGGTTTGATAAGGTGATTGAGTATGATTTTTCATGATTGTTGTATTTGGATGCACATGTGGGAAAATATATATTCCCTGGTGATATTATGATGTTTAAGGAGGATGACTTGCACGAGGGTTTATCCCGAGGAAGTGCAATTATACGACTCCTAATTTACCTAGGTTGAGCCAATTATGGCCAGGTCAAGTACATGTGCAAGTAATGAATTATGATTAAGCAAGATGAGATATGAATCATGTATAAGGATACCAAATATGAGTGTTGTGGTCTCACGGTCAACTACATAGTAATTAGGGCTCCCTATGCTATTACTCTATTATGATATGTATGATAGTCACACCTCTCATGTGGTGGTGACTGAAGATTTCTTACGAGATATGACCACACCCAGAGCGGTGTCGGGGTATGACTACACCCATAATGGTGTGGGGTATGTATGACCACATCCGACGGGATGTTGGGGTATGTATGACTACATCCGACGGGATGTGGGGTATGTTTCCCGGGAGAGTTAATAGCATGGGAGTAGCCAGGCGCCTATAAGTAAAACATGATAAGACGCATATGCATAAGTCAAGGTGGTTGAGTCTTTTGCCTGTTGGGATGTCGGATGGCTGAGGTCTGATCCTAGTGCTTTGGCTTATTTTCTAGATGTATGGTAGAAGTATGCTCTGTTATGAACTCACGATGCTATGATTATCTCACTCAGCTATGAGCTGACCCTCTTTTATTCTTTTTCTCTGCTTATGCTATGTGTAAGTAGATCATCAGTAGCAGCAGTAGATAAGCGTTAGGTGGGAGAGGAGCTAGAGTTTAAGCCAGGATGAGGTATGGTCTTCAACTATTCTGTGCTTGGACTACTACTCGGGATTTTGGCCATTGATCCACACCTTTTTGTAAAAATGTTTTGAGAACATTTTTCATGTGCATACTAGCTTTTGATGTAGTGTGAGATGTCCACAGGTGTGGAAAGTTGATGATATGTGTATATTTGTGTAATTATGTAAGTTGTGACGATTATGGCATGTATAAGTATGGTATGTAGTTGCAGAGTACGAAACTGTGACTATAGCTATGAAAAGCCAATGCATATGGCAGTGAGTGTATATGTTTATCTATGAATGCATGGATTTAGATGAATTATTTTGCAGGATTAGATGGAAGAACTGTTAGCCCATTACGCGAGTAATTCATGTCGAAATTTTATTTAGGTAAATTTTGATAATTAATGTAACACCCAAGATTAATTCCGCTGCAATTGTATGAACAATATGATTAGGCAAAAAGTATAGGGTAGGGTGTTACAGTTTGGTATCAGAGCTGGTTTGTTTTCTGCATTATGGGTATGTTACTTTCACCTTTGAGGACTGATCACCCTCGAAAGGGGAGGGAGTACTCCATACCTGTACTTGCACTAAACTTGCCAGGATTGGTTCCAAAGGTGATGATGTGTTGCATAGTCAGTTGCATACTGTCAAACATGATTTTGAGTATTTGAAGTAATCTTGAAAATTTTATGGTTTAAGTGGTATTGATAATTTTGTGGAGTTTTATCTTGTTTTTTCAAGTAATTATTTTGGACAAAGTTTTGTTTCAACCAAGTGAGTAACTTGGTTAGAGCCAAATGTGTGTGGATCTATCTAAGGCCAATGTTTCCATGTAGTTTGCACAGAAGTAGTTTTATGTGTCACTACTAACCAATCGAGAAGCATGGTGGATAGCTATGCAATGCAATTGAGTTTAGACTATGATGACATGATGAGTTGCGGTTGTAGATATTTGAATAGAGATACGAATCTTGATGATGCTGTGTTAAATATTTTGTAGGTTGGTATGATCTTGTGTTAGTGGCAACCTATTTTGCAGGTTAATGACTTGGTTTAGTGAATTATGTTTCGAACTTTGTTGATGTGCTTATGATGTGATAACCCAGTTTAGGTTTGAAATCTAAACATGGGAACTTGAGGTGTTATGTGTTTAGTTATGTACTTCAGATCTCCTAACCTAAGAGTTAGGTAGTAACAATATATGTGATAGTGTCTGCCAGGAGGAGAACGAGCGGATGCGTAGTATCAACTCAAGATTAGATTTCGGGGACGAAATCTTTTAAGGAGGGGAGAATTGTAACATCCCGTTGCGGCAAAACCCATATCTCGATAGCTAGAAAGTTCGTGATTTAAAATCGAGCGTTTTGATAGTATTTCGACGAAAATCGGATTATCGATCGATCGGATAAATATACGTATTAATTATATATATATATAATATTATATATATATATATATATATATATATAATTACATTAAGCGGCAGACCGCATATATTAATCCCACCTTCCGTCCCATTCTCATCTCTTTTCCATTTCATTCTTCTTTCTTTTCTCATTCTGTACCAAGAGAGCAGTGCGAGCAGAGGCATTCAGTGGAGCTCGCTAGAATTTTGTAGAGCTTAATTCTTGAGCATCTATGATCCAAAAATCCCGTAAGTAATGCCTAATTCATCTATTTATCGTGATTTATCGATTTAGAGCTTTAAAACGAGTTTTTGGATCAGGAATTTCTTGAATTCCCGATAAGCCAAATTAGGGTTTCGGAGTATCCGGAAGCCGGATTGAGCCCAAATTTCATATACGAGCTTCCTGCAGCGAGGTAATTAATCCTCTGGTTTTAATCCATGAATTTCGGTTATTATTTAGGTCGGAGCCGGGATCGCTGAATTTAGCTCCGGCCAGGGTTTGATGTGTTTTTATCAAGAATTTGACCCGGAGCCTAGAACTAATATTGACGGGGATACTGCAGGGGATATAAGGACGGTCTCGGATTTTAATTCGGGGTTCGTTGGTGAAATTGACGTTTTAGTACGGGAAGGTTAAACCGGTGTTTGAACGACCAGAACTGGTGAGGGATTAGCACGGCATACCGGGTTTGTCGTATCACGATAATTATATTGATGCTTAGAATTGACCTAGGTGAACTAGAATGGCATGATTAGGGGTGTATGAACTTTTGGTGCTATATGATGAACCCTGGATTGCTGTATGATATTATTGACTTGCCCTAATCGATATGGACCTTGTTTATGCTAATGATTTCGTATATGTTGCAAATTGTGGGCTTGACTGTTGATATGCCTTATGATGGTTTGATAAGGTGATTGAGTATGATTTTTCATGATTGTTGTATTTGGATGCACATGTGGGAAAATATATATTCCCTGGTGATATTATGATGTTTAAGGAGGATGACTTGCACGAGGGTTTATCCCGAGGAAGTGCAATTATACGACTCCTAATTTACCTAGGTTGAGCCAATTATGGCCAGGTCAAGTACATGTGCAAGTAATGAATTATGATTAAGCAAGATGAGATATGAATCATGTATAAGGATACCAAATATGAGTGTTGTGGTCTCACGGTCAACTACATAGTAATTAGGGCTCCCTATGCTATTACTCTATTATGATATGTATGATAGTCACACCTCTCATGTGGTGGTGACTGAAGATTTCTTACGAGATATGACCACACCCAGAGCGGTGTCGGGGTATGACTACACCCATAATGGTGTGGGGTATGTATGACCACATCCGACGGGATGTTGGGGTATGTATGACTACATCCGACGGGATGTGGGGTATGTTTCCCGGGAGAGTTAATAGCATGGGAGTAGCCAGTCGCCTATAAGTAAAACATGATAAGACGCATATGCATAAGTCAAGGTGGTTGAGTCTTTTGCATGTTGGGATGTCGGATGGCTGAGGTCTGATCCTAGTGCTTTGGCTTATTTGCTAGATGTATGGTAGAGGTATGCTCTGTTATGAACTCACGGTGCTATGATTATCTCACTTAGCTATGAGCTGACCCTCTTTTATTCTTTTTCTCTGCTTATGCTATGTGTAAGTAGATCATCAGTAGCAGCAGTAGATAAGCGTTAGGTGGGAGAGGAGCTAGAGTTGAAGCCAGGATGAGGTATGGTCTTCAACTATTCTGTGCTTGTACTACTACTCGGGATTTTGGCCATTGATCCACACCTTTTTGTAAAAATGTTTTGAGAACATTTTTCATGTGCATACTAGCTTTTGATGTAGTGTGAGATGTCCACAGGTGTGGAAAGTTGATGATATGTGTATATTTGTGTAATTATGTAAGTTGTGACGATTATGGCATGTATAAGTATGGTATGTAGTTGCAGAGTACGAAACTGTGACTATGGCTATGAAAAGCCAATGCATATGGCAGTGAGTGTATATGTTTATCTATGAATGCATGGATTTAGATGAATTATTTTGCAGGATTAGATGGAAGAACTGTTAGCCCATTACGCGAGTAATTCATGTCGAAATTTTATTTAGGTAAATTTTGATAATTAATGTAACACCCAAGATTAATTCCGCTGCAATTGTATGAACAATATGATTAGGCAAAAAGTATAGGGTAGGGTGTTACAAGCTCAAAACGTTTTAATCAAGCAGGCTTTAGGGACATATCATATCGGCACAAAACACGTGAATCATACTGGCTTTTGATCATTAACACATGGACAACCTCAACGACAACCTGGACAACCACCACAGATGACATTCGAGTGCAGCAAAGTCGAGCAAAGGAAGAGTTTCTGGTCTGTTCACCAACCAACATAGACTTGACACAACCAATTATTCAAGACAGTCACTTCATGCACAAAGCTCAAGATATCAGAATTAAGACCGAGCAATCTAGGTCCTCACCGGGGTAAAGAGTGTAGAAAAATATAAGGAAATAAATCGCTCGCTCTCGACCAGTGGGGTCAAGACAAAATTTTGATGCAAGATGTGCATACTCATACTCTCAATCCCTAACGTCTCTTCACCATGACGGCAGCCTCTAAGTGTTAGAGTTCACATATTAGGTGTCACCACTAACTAATCCAGAGGTCTTAGACACAGGTTCAGATGACTGGCTAGGGTCTTGGACATGGGGAAAAGGCCTTTTAGGTGGTGGAAGTATTCATAGCACAAGGTTCCACAGTTCCAAACCCAACACAATCACAGTCAATCAAACCAGTAACTTCCTTTCTGCCATTCTACATTACTCAATTTCTCTAGAGCACAAGAGCGAAGGAGGTCACATAAATGCTAGTATTTCCAAGCCAGACTGCTAAGAAACACTACTTAACGAGCATGATTAAGAATTTTGGGTAGTGGCTCTCTTTTGCTTTCATTCATGTTTTTCCCATTTTTTTCGTGAGAGAACCACCACCTCTGCACATTTTTCAAACACATGCCCAATTTTTAGACATTACCTCCAACCCTCACATTAAATTTAGCAGAAACAGCAGAGAACATGCAAAAACCACTTTGTGGAACCTTCTAAGAGATGCAAAAGGGTGATTTTCCATTATAGACCGAAAGAAAGAAAAGTACACAGCTCAAAGGGGCTGACTAGAAGGTATGACACACCAGGAAAGTCAATTTGGTCGTGGGCTAATCCTATGCCTCCATCATCTTAGCTAGTGACAACGTGAATGCTACATATCATGGAAGAGGGATCTATCGCACAAGAAAGAAACGAGCAGGCTCAAATCTCACATGGGTACCTATATGCTCTATCTCTCATTCTGATTCCCTGAACTAGATGCATAAACGACTATCAAGAGCAAGTGATCAATCCAAGTCACAGTTGGTAAGCAAACAGTTGAAAAGCTGAGCCCCTACACAATTCTACTACACGTCTCAGTCATCATTATAGGCTGTCCTAGTTACAATCAAGTTGTCATGCATTAATTCGAAAGCCATTCGATTCACCAATCAAATCCACAGTGCCAATACGATCAAGCAAACAGCAATACTTGGAGCCCTAAAATCTCGAGATTTGGACAGCGGACTAGGCTCCAAGCACACATATATATGTTCCAATGAATACAAAGAACCCCCCACACTTAAATGCGACAGTGTCCTCAATGAAGCCGAGGGAAGGGGAACGATGTTACCGTGAAATGAAGATCAGGAATGGGGACTAGAAGGCAGACCAGTCAATAGCAGGGGACTGGAAGGGGGGACCAGTCCAAGGCACATAGCTAAAGTCATCAAAAGGCACACACTGGGTGAAAGAACCGGAGTTCCATGTCTACAATCCAAAAGAACAAAACCGAAAGAAACAACAAAAAACATGGAGTCTCAGTCTGGAAAAGAAATGAAGTACAGAACCATCCACTCGCCACTAGAGCACATCGCCACCATCGCCAGTGGGTGGGGGGTACTCGTCTTCATACCCCTGTGACTGCACGAAGGGGTCGTGGACCGAGTTCGGGTCCAGGCCCAGGTAAGACATGATGTAGTGCTGGCCGGACATAAGACTACGGCCGAGGTCCTGCTCACGATCGAGGCGGGTGTGAATGCTCTCCTGGCCGGCCAGAATGCGCCCTTTCTGCTGAGAAATGGCCGCCAACTGGTCAGCAATGGAGACCGCGGGGGTGTAAGTTCCGAGAGCAGCGGAGGAGGGGCTCGCGGGGGCCTAGGTACGGCGAACCGGACGGCGGGGGACCCGGCGCCCCCCAGCAGCGCTCGACTCTGGCTGGTCGTCCCCGACAGGATCAGGCACAAGCGGCCAAGGGAGACCCACAATCCATGCCAAACGCCCCTCACGCACAAGCATGTGCTGATGTCGGAGGGTGGCCTCACTGAATGGGGTCGCTACGCGGACCATGTTCATCCCAGTAGTGTCAACCGCGTAGTAGCGGGCCAGGGAGGTGATCAACGAGCCACAGACAAGGTGGCGATCCTGTCTGGCGCAGGCCTTGGTGAATGTACGGGCGATCACAGAGCCCAGCTCGATAGTGTCCTCCGACTGACCCATCGCGTGCATGAAGTACAGGGTCCGGAGGGTGACTCGGTTGGCCGAGCCCTGGCTGGGAGTGTAGGACTGGGTGAGCAGGTGGTTGAGGATCCGCCACTCCGGACGGAGGAGAGTGGCCCGCGTCTGGCTGGCGATGTACTGCTCATCCGCATAATCCGGTAGGCAGATGCGCTGGAAGTAGGCCTGATCACCAAATGTGGTGGGATCGGTCACCTCCACGATCAAGGGGCGGTCGCTGGGGTGAGGGGAGTTGAGCCTAAGTGTAGTGGCCAACTCCTAGTAACTGATGGAGTGCTTTACCCCGCTGAGTGTGAAGTGGAGTGCGTCAGCATGGTCGGCCGACCTCCGCTGGGAGTGCGAAAAGGAGGCGTGGAACTCCCAGACGAGCTCCTGGTAGGTCGGCTCGGCGAGGTAGAGAAGGCGCCGCCAACCATAGGCGCGAATAACGACCTCCATCTGCGGCCGGGCATGAAGCGCCTCGAACACCCCAGAGTCGAGATGAAGGTGCTCGGAGATATGGCCGGTAAGGATGGTCCACAGCAGGTGGCGTTACGTGATGATCAATTGGTCGAGGTAGGCCTCCATGATCCTGCAAAGCAAAAGGATGTACAATTGCCACACAAGCGAACAGGGTCAATGTTAGGCGAAAAACACACCGGGGGCCCTCACATCGAAAGATATGGACAGTGGACTAGGCTCCCGATGGAACAAGCATACCAATCACAACCATAATCACACAAACAAACACACCGGGGGCCCTCAAATCGAGCGATTTGGGCAGTGGACTAGGCCCCCGGTGGAACAAACACATAATCCGATCCCAAATATCCATCAATCGGTCATTCACCACACATAGGCCACACAAGCACGCATACAATTCCAACATGCAAATGGTAGGCCGATGAAATGAAGTCCCAGGACAAAAATATAACAAGCACAGAGCGCCATCGGCCTACCAAAATCATTCTAAAAGCATGCCACAATCCCAAATTCTTCACCTAAACTCTAGGTATCAATTCTCCAAAAATAAAATAAGAGACCATGAAAACACACCTGGAACGCAAGGAGATACCACAAGGCAGGTGAAGAAA